GGGAATCGGGACTCAACTCGCTTCTCGCCACCTCTCTCCGCCCTCCTCCACCCGATACGCCAGTTTCGGAGGAGGAATAGGAACACCCCTCGAGGGGTTGAATCTCTCTCGTCTAATTTGCCCTCGGCTTCTTTACGACCGTAATTTTAAATTCCGGTAAAAAAGCGAACTATATTTAGGCGTTGCGGTGAAATAGGGTTCGGGGGGAGGGGATCGTTCCGCGTTAGCTCCGGGTGGATCGGGTCGGAGGCGACGCCGTACCGTCGCGAAATCGAGGCAAAATACACGAGAAACGTTGCATAGGTTCGGTAGAAGAGCGAAGAAAAAGAGAGAGGGAGAGAGAGAGAGAGGTTGGGTTCGTGTGTAGCGGAGATCTACGGTCTCGCCGCCTATTACGGTAATTTCACGGTACGATGTCTATTCCTGCGGTCCGGAGGAGCAGGACTAATTTCATTAGGGATAAAGATCATCATTATTTCGCGACCGTCCCGAAAATTGCCGGCGTGCCTCTCCTTTTCGCGATACGACTTCGGGAACGGTCGCCTTTCGAGCTTCCATCCACAGCCCCCGGGCGACCAGACCGGCCACCTCTTCGTCTTTATTCGTCCTCTTTGCAAAATGGACGAGGAACGACAATGTAGACGAAGATCAACATCGTAATAAACGGAAAATCGTAGAGCGCGTTCTGAAGTCAGGTTTCTTATCGAACAAAATTTCGTTAAGTTATCGTCGCGATCTCTCGGGAGAAGCGAGAAGAGAGAGAGAGAGAGATTGAGAGAAGGAAAGGGGAGCAAACGGCCGGGCGTCGCATCGCGTCGCGTCTCGTCACGTCGCCTCGCGTCACGTCACGTCACGTCACGTCACGTCACGTCACGTAACGTCGGGCGCACAGCGGTCGAATGGAACGAATCTCGCATCCGGTCGCCGGTTTGCGCCGCTCGCGTACGATCGCGATAAATCGACAGCCGATCGGGCGTCACGTAACTCACGTACGTACGCGAGAGCGAGGCTGGTTTTTCTTGGACCGGCGGCCAGCCGGTCGCCGGTGCCCGCCGCTCACCGATCCAAGGAATCCTCTCTTCGGGCGAAACGAGCGCCGCGATCGGCCACGGGAATGGGAACGGGATTCGAAACGAGCGCCGCGGCGCGCGGGAAAGTAAGCCGAGCTCGCCGAGCTGCACCGACATTCCCGCCGATTTTTATATGCCGTGGGGAGCGTGTTTCCTCGGGACAGGAAACGCGCGACACCGCGCCGATGATAATTGAACGCCGGCTCCTATCGAGTCGAGATCGATCTCGGGAAAAAGGAAAGAGAGAAGGCGATCGATGACTCGATCCTCGATCGAATCGAATCGAATCGAAAATTCGAAAACGAAAGGTTAAAAATGGTAGATTGAAAAAGTGGCCGAATTCTCGAGTAGGGAAAATTACGAATGGTTGGCTCGAGAAAGAACCTTGGACGATCGTCCAATTTCGTCACTCGTTACCGGTGCTCGTTACGCGCTCGTATATATACCGGTCGTTATTATTTCCACTGACCGACGATGTGATTTATGCCTTCCCCCGGAGGGGCGAAAAAAATGTTGCGCAACGCAACGGCGACAAGGCTCCCTCGCCCTTCCCTGGAAAACGTTTCCCGTGCAAACGAGCCGGACGACGCTGGAGCGAGAGGCCGACAGGCCGGCCCGCGATCCGTTATTGCTTATTACCTATCAGCCAAGCTGTGCGGAACTCCCTCCGTCGCCACCGATCGCGGCTACGTTCGACTAATTGTTCCCTCTAATTGACGAAGTTCTCAGGCTCGGGCGCCGCGTTCCCCGCGTCCCTCGATCCGCCTGCTTTTCACTTTTCTTTTTCTTCGTCCTCTTCTTCCTCCTCTTCTTCCTCCTCCCCCTCCTCCTCCTCCTCTTTTTCAATTTCTCTCGAGGCGAAGCAACAAGAAGCAACGACGAAAATCGATCCGAGCGGAGGAACATGGTGTGCTTCGCGAGTATCGATCCGCGTCGCGTAAAACGACTTTCCTCGCGTAATTCCGTCCCTCGAATTAAGATATCGGCTTTTGTCTCGACGCGGATAATAAAACTCGTGTGGAAAAGTTGTGTCGTGCCGCGGCACAATTTCGCGCTTATTTTTCGCGTGTTCGTTGCCTCGCGCCCGACACACACACGCACACAAACACGATCGAAACGAGAGGGAAAAAGCGAGGCGTTGAGCCCACGCACCGCAACGTGGCTCGAGGGACAATTAACCGAGGCACCGCGATATCGTCGATTCGTTTCGCTCGCGTGACAAACTCGCCCTCGCCCTTACCCTCACGTGACACGTTGAGCGGCCCGCGAATTTTTTACAAATCGCGCTTCCGCGATCGTTTTATCGCGCCGCCATTAACGAGGTACACGCGTGTCGAAATTCTCGAGGAACGCGCGAAACACCGCGTCCCCCTCTTCGAAAATTCGTAAGATTCGTAAGGGGAAATGATTAACGGGGACACGCAACGATTTTAAAATAAATCGAACGAGAAGGGATTTCGAAACGTAGAGAGAAAAGGAAAAAAGGAATGCTCAAGTTCAAACTCGCCTCGAGCGTTCTCTCCTGTGGCGCGGTTCCGCGAAGCGAAGACGCACGCGTTGCGGCCGACAGCTGTCAAATAAATGTTAAAAAAAAAAAAGAGAGAGAGAGAAAAGCGCTAGCCGAGCGAAATTTGGAGTGGATCGAAAAGAGGGTGCCTGCCCACCCTATCGAAATACCCTTAGCCCGCGGGGCAAAACGGTCTGCGCGATTTTTCCACGCTTGGAAACTCCTCCTCTCCGCCCCGATAAGTCATCGCCCGCTTCACGCTTCATGCTCCCTTTCTCCAGTTAAGAAACCGCGTTTCACCCGCGTCCAACGTTTTATGCTAATTCATCGGGAATAATAATTTCGGGTATTAATGGCGGACGAGCCGCGGACGGAGAGCAGAAAACGTTTCTCTCGGCCGGGAGGAAGGGAAGTAGAGGGGGGGGGGGGGACAAGGCGCGAAGTTTGTTGGCTCCGCTCCAAAAAAAATTGTCCACCGAATAAAAACGGGGCGACGCTTCGTTAGATTTCGCCGCTCGTACGGAAGAACCGGCCGGCTTTTCGAGTTTAACGAAGTAACCGTCGTCCCCCGACGACGACGACGACGACGACGACGATAGCGAAGGGTGGCGGATGATGTCGGTCGGGCGAGAGACCGCCAAGGGGCAAATTTTCGAGGGTGGTTTCGCGCGTCAATGGTTTATTAAGAAGCACTTGTTTAAAGGTAGCCCCATTCCCGTATCCGACAGCCAATTCGACCGCGCGACGTCTGTGTCACTGTGCCTATACAAATGGATGGGAGGGAGAATCTCGCCCCACGGCGATACGTCCTCGTGTCGCCGTAATTGAAGTTATTGCAATATTGTGTCCTGTCAACCCGGCCACCCCCTTCGTCCCTCCTCCTCCTCCTCCTCCTCCCTCTCGTCTTCGCCTCGTTCCTTCTCGTTTCGCGCGGACCCCTTCGGCTTTGCGGTCGAGTCGAGTGGCCACCCACGCCTCCTTCGATCTTCCCGCCCCTTCTTCGGGGAAAGGATAATGCTTGCGAAGGATGCGTACGTTTTCGCGGTAACGTGGATCGCCGAAATACACACGAGACGTTCTCCTTTTTTATTTCGTTCGAGGAGGAAGAGGGAAGAGGAGGGGGGAAAGGAAGGTCGTTTCTCGAATCGAGCATAATCTTTCGAAGATGGAATAGGAATTCGAAAAGTGTGGGATTCGTTGCCGCGCTATTTCTATCCGTCCCGTGGTAGACGGGAAATTCAATTCGGGCGGTGAATAACGACTAACAAACCGCAGTTATATCGTAAAAAGCACCGATGCACCGGGCGGAGAATTAATTCCGGCTAGCTCTCCTCCTCGCCTTTCCTCGCCTTTTCTCTCTCTCTCTCTCTCTCTTTCTTTCTTTCTCTCCTTCTCCCGTGGAGAGAGATTCTCTCGCTTCGAACTGGAACGGTCCCAAAATTCAATAAAGGCGAACGAGCGCACGGGGTCTCCCTCGCCGCACGGCCGGGTTTCGGCGTGCGGGGTTAGCGACTACGGAGTTGGGAGAGCCCCGGAGTCATCGCGCGAGAAACGAGGGGGAGGGGAGAGGGGAGAGGCTACACAGCACGGTGCATACATTAGCGGGGACAGGGTGGAGATATTGTCTGAACAAAGGGATCGGCTCGTACCTATCGAAAAGGCGATTAAGCGAGGATAAAGTTATACCACCCCACCCTCCCGCACCCCGGCCTTCACCCCGGGTGTCGTCGATTGGTTTTGCGTTAAAATCGCTTCCCGAACGGCACGTGTGCCGGGGAAAATAGGATCGATCGCGTCGATCTCCGATTCGATTTCCACGCATCGAGAGGAAAGTATCGCGCGCTTTCTTTCTCCCCTTTCGTGAGAGGGTCATTTTTTTCGACGGGAAAGAGAAGAAGAGGGGAGGAGGAGGGAGCACGCGGCGCGTGCCACTCGAGGAGGACGAAAAATCGTGGACGCCCGTTAAACGGCCCGGTTGGAACGGGAACGCCGATAAAGCACGCCGCCCAATGCGCGAGATACGACCAATTACCCCCGCGTGCCAAGCGCCACGATTTAAGGGTGGTGGCCGAAGCGGAGAACGATGCCAACGATCGCGATCGAAACAGCGCGAACGGTTTCGCTCTCTCGAACGGTTGGCACGCATATCCTCTCCATCCCTTTAATCCAACGCCCGCTCGTTCGTCTCTCTTTTCGATTCGCGAGATTAGCCGCGATCCTCTGGCACCGATTTTCGCGCGCCCCGCTCCCTTATAACACGCGAGCCGAGTGGACGCGACGATTTATGGAATCGCTTTTTCGATCCCACGCTTTCCCTCTTGAATAAACCACGCTTCATTCACGCGCATCCCTCCACCAGAATTGGAACGGACAGGAAAATGGAGCAAGAGGCATACGTCGTCCTCTTATCGTCGTCGACTTACCTTACCCACGTGCTCGAACGTTAAAACGACGCTCTCTTCCCATCGACGTCGACGTCCCTCCTCGTCCTCCTCGGCCCTTGCTATCTCCCTCCCTCTCTCTATCTTTCTCTCTCTCTCTCTCTCTCTCTCTCTCTCTCTTCATCGGGCTTCTTTCCTCTCCTTTCCTTCGCCGCCCCCACCTAACCTCCGGTTGATACTCCCCCTCCTTGGTTGGGAAAGCCGTGTCAGGGGGAGGGCAGGGAGATCGGCGACCACGTGACCGCCGTGACCGGAACCGCACGAAACGCGGAACCGCACGGTCCTCCTCGTGCTCGTGGTCCTGCTCCCGATGATCGTGCTCCCGGTCGTCCCGCGCCTTCGATTCTCTCTCCCCCTCTCTCTATCCTTCCCTCCCATCCCCCTCTCTCCCTCTCTCTCTCGCAGAGAGTCTTGGTCCGGTCGATCGGTCTCGAGAACTCGACGATGGAAATCGCGAATACGGTAGAAGGATGCACGGATACGACGCGTACGACGTTAGGTTAGGAAGAGAACACGTGGGTCGTGGAGGAGCCGCGGCGCGCCGATTTCCTGCCATTTTCGCGAGAGGGACCCGCTCCTCCTTTCTCCGTTTCCCCGTGAGAAGCGGCGGTGTGCCAACGACTGCTATCTGCCGCGGAGCGAGTCGGCCGCGGGACTTTGGTATACTGGGAGTATGGTAAGTAGCTACACCCCTGCCACCGCCGCCCCTCCCTCGTTGCCGCGGCACGCCGTTCCCTCGAACGTCCCGATCCCGCGCCTCTCCCCTCCCAGCCGTTCGCCGAGCCGATCCTCTACCCTTCCCCGCCCCTACACGCACAACACCGACATCGCTACCGACACCGCCGCCGACCTCGTCGCTACCGTCCCCCCTCCCTCTCAACACCCTACTCGACACCGGTCGCCCGACCGACCGATCGACCGACCGATCGACCGACGCTAACGTTTTACCTCGCGGGCCCCAGGGACGTATCCATCCGTCCTGTTCGTTTCTTTCCCTCGAGGATCTCCGTGGAAAATCTCTTTCGAGAGAGAGAGAGAGAGAGATCGAAATTCTCGATTCTCGATCCTCCGTGTCGAACGTTTATCGGGTGTATGGTTACGAGGGGTACGCGGGGCGAGGTGCACTTGGAAAACAACGCAGCCCAGGCAAACGCTGTTAAACGCTGTATAAAAGACAGCGTTTGCATGCTAACGTATCTATTATAATGGCGACGTTCGTTCCTCTTTCGCGTCCTTCTTCTTCTTCTTCTTCTTCTTCTTCTTTTTCCTTTCTCCAACTCCCCCCTCCCTTCAACGCCCGCCTCTCTCTGTCTCTCTCTCTCTCTCTCTCCGCCGCTGGCTTGCATTCCGTTTCACTTCGACGCGCGCATAAATTACCGCTTTCGAATGCAACGGTATGAATGAGACAAAGTTTTCCCTCCGCTTCGCTCCCTTCCTCCCCTTCCCTCCCTCGCGTTGTACGTATCCCGAGGTCCTTCCTCGCGTCGCTCGCGAATATTACGCGCGCGTGTGCCTCGTACGCGTGGGAAAAAAGGAGAGGGGCGGAGGGGAGGGTAGGAGACGCCGTCAACCACCAGCCGGATCCGGATGGAAGCGGGAAAGGAAGGAGGAGGTAAGAGGATGAGGGACGAGAGCCCGAGGAGGGCGTTTATTAGCAATTGTAATGCAAGATCGCGGAATGCATGGGATCCCCGGCGATGCCTCGATACGACAGTCCCGGTACGCGTGTTCCCCGTAACACGATTCCCGGATCAACCTCCGTGGTTGCTCTGGAGGAGAGCAGGGGTGTCCCGGACCTCTACAAACCCGAACCCGAATTCCTTTGCTAGGAGAGACGCTCGATCCTCTCCTAGGAAGGGAATACCTAGCCGGGTTGAGAAGTAAATTCGGTTTTCGGGTTTCGATCGGGGATCGACGCCCCCCGGCCGAGGGAACGAGTTGCGGCGGCCGTCTTATTGCGCTCTTATCCGGAGCGCGCGTCGAATCGTTTAACGGCGGCATTCGACTTTTATGGGACGTGGGAACCGATTTGCGCGGGCAACGCGTGTGCGAAACGGCCCCCCGCGTCCGCAGCTTTCTCCTGTCACCCCCGGGATGACAGGGCGCGGGTTGTGGACGCCGTTCTAAAATCGAAAAGCTTTCGAAATATCAACCGTTCTTCTCTTGCTTGCTTCTCGCGCCGATACCTTGCATGTATTTTTTCGAAACTCGCCTTCTCGAAGTTTCGAATTTCCCTCGCGATTAATTAAAAGCTTCGATCGACTAACATCGATTAACGTCGAGGCAACGATTGCGATTCGTTGAGAGAGAGAGAAAAAAGAGAAGAAAAAGAGACACGGGGTCGAAACGGGACGAGTTTAAAAGTAATCGGGTACGAAGCTTAGGACGGCTCGTTCGAATCGTTTATGTTAATCAGCCGTGACGTCACCGGCACCCCCCACAGCGGCAATATCAACCCGTCGTCGTCGTCGCCCTTCACCCCCTCCCCCGCTCCTCCCCCTAAACTCGGTCCACACGGAAAACGCGGGCGTATCGTGGTCCTCCCGTAATCACCCTCCCTCCCCCTCCTCATCCACCTCCTCGTCGCGCACCCTTTGTCGACGTTAACCCAAAGTGAATGGACGTATAGCGGGCGGCCGGTGTAGGGACGGGTTTTAACTTCGGGGGTGACTTACCCCGAGCGTTATCTATTTTGACAGCGCGGTACGACCGCGGTCTGTCCGGGGGGTCGATGCACGGGGGTATCCCGGGTAATTGTGTTTTAACTGCGCGCCGTATCGTCGCGATATATCCGTCCAGTCCTCCAGTTCTTTCACGTCCTCGCGGCGCGCAACCGATATTTTTCGACACTTTTTTCTTCGATCGTTGCTTAGGATCGAACGAAGAAGGGATATATATATATATATATATATAAGGGGTTGTCTATTTTATGCTATGAGGAAAGGAGGGGGGAGGATATTAAATCCGTTAATTTTCTATAAATTGGGGAGCGAGTAATAGGCGAGGCGAATCCCCGAAGCTCGGCGGCGGTATAGAGCCGGGGGCACAGCCGGAACGTATGCAATATGGCATTCAATTTGCGAGTGGATTCGCTGTCTGGCAACGCAAACAACCGCTATTGGGTTCCATTTAATGAAGCGAGGCCCGGAGAGCCTTCCGAAGCATTTTTGCGGTGTGGGCACGGCTCAAATTGGACCTACCCCCGCCCCCGCCTCCGCCCCGCTCGTTTTCCATTCGCTTCCTGCAACTTACGCCTCGATGACTCTCCTCAATGCCGGCCCACCGAACTGTACCTGTACGCTTACGTACGTACGTGGTAGGAGTGTTCCGTTTCGTCGCATATCATCGTCTCAACGCGATCCGGTTTCCTCGACTATTCCGGACCTCGTCCTCGTTGCGTCCGTTTTCACGCGCAGGTCTCGTCACTCTCTCGACTCGTCTCGACTCGTCGCGTCGAGGGGGAGGGGAAGGGGGACGATCGAGTCGGGAGAGAATCGCTCGTTAAAAATATCGAGGCTTAGGAGGAAAGGTGGGAGGGGGAGGGACAATCCTCTTAAAAAGTTCTCGAGGAGGAGAGTCGTGGAAGGATAACGATAGCCCGTGGATGGTAAAACGGGTCACCGGTATCGGCCACGTATCGTTCCACGATACGCAAGTGTCCGATGTGAGCTAAGCGGATCCACCGTAATCCGGATTACGTATTTGCCGCCGCCCGAACGCTGCCATCTCGATCTCGCGCCAGTCGGAGCCAAAAGGCGTATATATATATTCGCCTTCTGGCAACGCGCCGTCTGTTGTCGCGTAATCTGTTTAACGCTCTCTTCTCTCCGTCTCTTCGACTTCCGCCCGTCGAATCGTCGTTGGATTCTCCTCGTTCTTTCTTTCGTTCGTGGAGGAAGGAGGAGGAGGAGGAGGAGAAGACTTCGTTTCCATCGATCGGTAGCGATCTTTAAACAGCGCCATTAACGATTGCGTGCACAAGCCGAGGGGGTTGCGATCAAATGAATATGATGAAAGAGTGGCGGCATTAGGCGAACGTGCCGTGCATACTGATTTGCGGCTGATTGATTGGACCCCCCTTCCCACTCGACACGACGGTGCACCACGGTGCTAGATATCCCCTGCCCCCGTCCCCGCTCGGTGGGGCTAGGCCCGCCGTTCATTCCGCCCCACGAGCGAGCCAACATCGTTCGTATTATCGAGCACCCTGCACACACCCTGCCCATCTCGCGAATATTTGACGCGTCGCGCCCCCCTCCCGACGCGCCCGCCCCGGATAATAATTACACGATACACCGTGAAAGGCAACCTTTTTTCCAACGTTCCCCACCCGCGCTTCCGTTTAACCTTCGTTAACGCGCTTTTATCGCCTTCCTAGCGATCCACGGCCACCGATTTCGACGAACGCGGGTCTTCTCGGATACAGCTACAGGAGGAGTAAGTTCCTCTGGCGTCGTTTTTTATTCGGATCATTTCCGATTCGAGAAATCGAAGGGACGTGTTATTCGATCGCGTATCCGATTTTCCTTTTCTTTTCTTTTTTTTTTTCTTTTTCTTTCCTTTTCGCGTATTTCGTGGATTTTTCGTTCGGATCGAGAAAATTGTAACGACGTGGGAAGTGTTCGCATACTCGTACCGTTCGAAGGGAGGCGCGCTTTTTGGAGGAGGGGAGAAGGGGGGAAGAGTCGAAGGAGAAGACGACGAGAGGGCGAAAAGGCGAACCATTTCGGCGGGTTTGGGTTTGTCCTCATTGTCCAGGGTTGGCCGCGCGAACTGTTGGCCTGTAAGGTAATTGTTTTTGACGCGGTAATTTTACAGTGTCGTGCGTGCACACACGCGTCCCAGCCGAGGGCAACGGACACGTCGCGACGAAGCGTCGTGATAACCGCTCCCGTGCTTTTCCTTCTTCCCTTCCCTTCGCTCCTTTTCCTTTTTCGCCTCGCCAACCGCGACAGCCACCCGTCTGCCAAGTCGCGCGTCTCGACCGGAGCGAAGAACACCCCGTCGAGCCGTTTCGAAACGCGTCTCGCCTCCTCCACGTTTCCTCGAAAGAACG